TACTTTTATCACGTATTTTGGAATTAATGCTTCTCACTATCATCGCAGGGTCTGTCATACCCCTGAGTAGCATTGGACATAGCTTCATACCCTTGTATAGTGAATAGTGATGGTGAAAGCTTGTCTTGTTTCATTTACTTGGCTGGCTTAGTAATATTCCTGTACCTGATTTTTTGTAACACCACTAATTTTTTTTACTGGAAAGAGAAAATTGTTAAAAAGTGATGAGAAAAAAAAAATCATTTTGATTGCCCCATGTAAAATTGATTAAAAAAAATGAAAAGAAGAATGGGGATAAAAGAAAGATCCAAAAAATTAAAAAGAAAAAAGAAGGAAAAGAAAAAGAAAAAGAAAAAGAGAGAGGATAGACAAGAAAGAATGCAAAAGAACTGTGAAGTAAATTCATTGTATTTTCCTGTGAGGAGGCTAGTCTTTCAATATTCATGTGTGGTGTATCACCTTGGAGGAATGTAGTTATGATGGTGAATTGCTCATGGATCCTTTGAGCATTACAAGAGAGGAAATGGTGATTCGCATGACATGCTGAGTGGCCAAAGCGCTAGCAGTTTGGTGTGTCAGGTTTGGTTGCTGATTGAACTCAATTTAGTGAGGTGATATGACTCTGATGTGGCCTTATTCTGCTCGCTTGATCTTCTCATGTTTCCCCAAGCACTATTTGGAGAAGGCTCTCTCTTTTAAACGCCCTTGAAGTAGCCATTAATTGCCTTGGATTATTCGGAGGAAGCTCAAAAACATCAGTTCTCCATGAACTAATACATGAGATATGATCTGATGTGCTGGGGATTAGCATGATTCACACTCCTCTGCTGAAGCCTTGCATACTCATTCATTCACATCCGGCCATCGAGTGCATATCATTGTCACTGCCTTATATATATATAGAGAGAGTGTGCTTTAATCTTCACGAGACATAAAACAATGAAAGATAGCGTCTGGAGGATCTTGCATGTGATCATGCTCATACAGTCATACCTGTATTTTTTCTCCCGAATTCATGCATGATACAGTTAGCATTTTATATTAATGCTCTGATCGGTGAAGCTGAAGCTGGATCAGTAACGCAAAACTTAAGAACTTCAGATTTTTTAGTTTAAATCTTGTCCTAATTCATCCTCTGGTGTACCTTAACACATTTGAAGGAAAGACATATCCTGATGTCAAATAACGGAAATCAATTTTGTTAACAGAGGCTCTATTGGAGCAAATATTATTTTGACTGAGAAAGTGCGTTGCTGTACTTGTGGTTATCGGCTGTGGACAAATACTTTTAATTTTCAATAATATGTAGTTTGGGAGTACTGGGGATGTTTGCTAATGCAACTATGCGAAAACATGTCGGATAATCATAAAATATGCGATGTTCAATTTGGATATGTGATAACAGATTATGTGAAAGGTTACCGCATATGGTAAATTATTCGGTGGATTTAGATATGTGAGTCGTAAACTATGAGAAAACATCTCGCATATTATCACATCACTCATTCAATCTCAATCTTGTATTGCAGGTGGATTATGCATGCACCCCGGAGGAAGTTCAGCAGCATTTTCAAGCATGTGGAACAGTCAACCGTGTGACCATTTTGAGTGATAAGTTTGGTCAGCCCAAAGGTTTTGCGTACGTTGAATTTCTTGAGCAAGAGGCGGTTCAAGAAGCCCTGCAACTCAATGAATCTGAGCTGCATGGGCGTCAATTGAAGGTTTGATTGAATAAATTTATCTCTATAATCAGAAGTGCTAACCTATAAATTTAGTTGAGTTATAAAAAAGCAGTGTTGTAAAATTCGGCCTTGGCAACCCGAGAAATAGAAAATCAGTAAACATTTGGCTAGGCAGCCTAGACGGTTCTAGGCGGCTACTGTTTCGTAAAAAAAGCAATAGTTGTAAAATAAATAAAACAGTTGCCAGCTAGGTGTTGGGAAGCCATACACCGTCCAATTTGCGCCTTGCTAAAAAAAAGAGGAAAAAAAAAATAGTTTTCTTTTAAATTACAACCCCTTCTCTCATTTACCCAGTATATGAAGAAGAGTCTTTTAGGAATTGGCACTGTTTAGTATTTTAATTAGCTATTATGAATTAGTTTTTACTATAGTATGAAATGGGCTTGGTCCTTAGTTTATGTTAATATATTAGTTAAGAGTATAATGGGCATCTAAAAATAGATGGAAAGTACCAAAAAATGTAACAAGAAAATATCTACAAAATGCTACCTTCTCTCTAGTTTCTCTCTCCTTGCTCCCTTGTGTTCCCTGATGATGATGATTATTATTATTATTATTTTGTGTGTGTTACACAAATTTTACCTTACGACTTATTTGCCTAGAAAAAAAAGGTAGTTATCTATTTAAACTACAAGTTCTACTTTCCATATAATATTTGACAAACCGCCTTAAACTTTGCCTATGGTAACACAAATTACCTACCAATGCGCAATAGGTTGCATTTTGTTTAATATAAATACATATATGAGGGATGGTTGTGATTTTGACATAAGCCTAAGTTTCTTTTGTAATTAGAGGAACCTAAAGGGATAGGTGTGTTACCTTCCCCTTAATATTTATTAATATTTTAAAAGTGCTGGCTTGTTGTTGTGGTTTGGTCTTCTTATTATGCATTAGAAAATTATTTAACTTTGTATATGCAGGTTATGGCCAAAAGGACGAATGTTCCTGGGATGAAGCAATACCGTGGAAGAAGATTCAATCCGTACTTTGCATATGGTTTCAGAAGACCCTATGTACCCCCTTTTTACTCACCATACGGGTACAAATGAGTTTCTAAAATGTCTCCTTCAATGTATTTAATGTTTTAGTTAAAATTAGGGATAATTAAACTACCCTTGATAAAGGTGACTAACAACTTATTTACTAAAATGTAATGCAGCAAAGTTCCAAGGTTCAGGCGTCCAATGCGTTACATGCCTTATTATTGAGTTAACAATTCCATTGCGGTTCATCCACATATGTCGCGTGTTGGTCAACTGGTCAAACTCGTGCGCTTAATCTATTTGGTCTTAATTGACTGTAATATACTTTGCCGTGAGCAGTTTAGTGGTTAGAAGTACTCGACTTTGGGCTTTGTAACAGTTATACGCTATTCATTGCCTTTTGTATTATCTATTTGGTGGTCGGCAATCATGTTAGAACATAATCGGGTTATACTTTTCCCCGTATTTCTATCCTTAGTTAACTTTTNATGAAAGGTGAATTTTTTCCTTCATGAAAATAGTGGACTTGAGGATTACTAACAGACATATATCTACTTTTAATTTTAGAAGCTCAAAATTTATTAAGATTAGGAGAGAATGCCCGGTACGTGAAGAAGTTGTAAAAGTGCTTTAATCAAGTACAAAGGTCTGGGACTTGCCTGAATGAGTTGAAAGCGTATTTTGGAATAGAAAAATGTACTCAATCACAGCTTTAAGACGGCATTTTTTCGTAAGCAATTGCAGTCTTCACAATTATTACTTAAATGGACGTTTTAGTCACTATCATCGTCTCTAATTCCTCACGTTTTTAAAACTATTTTGACATCATGGATTAAGATACCAAACAAACCTAATTCACGCAATTTTCTTTCATTCATAAAATTATTTAGTGAACGGGGGTACTAAAATAGTTGCAATTTGTGAATAATTAGCTGTGCTTGGGTCATGTAAAAGGACAAGGGTTGTGAGAAAATAATTTCGAACGTGGGTGGAATTATTTAGAAATGTACCGACAATGGGTTATGGCTGCTACAGAACAAGAATTTAAAAGGTACAGTATATTTAATTATGCCCTGCTATTTTAAGTCTAGCTTGTAAATTCACCCTTGCGGGCTGCGTAATATCTAGTCTTGCTATTAATTAAAATCAAGAATATTCAACATAATAGGAGGTGTTTAGTAGTCAGTTATGTTATTTGACATATTATAAGATAAATTAGGAATTTAGTTCAACTGTAATTTCAATACAATTTTTCAAACATTTATTACATCATACAGAAAATTGGAAGTCTATGATCACTTAGGTGGAACTTTGTTCATGGACGATCTAGAATTTATAGTTTGAAGCGACAGATGTAAGGTCCAAAATGCTAAGATTTAGAATTTGTGATTGCATCATGGTCGAATTTCTGGGCTACAGTTTTAATTATAGTTTTCTACCCTTAATTGATGAGATTGCTTATGGAAACAAAACTGACCAATCTAATTGAACTTTGATTTTGTTGTAGTTTTGTAGTTG